CTGAAGTTATTTAGTTCATCTGCTAAAATTTCATTCTACAGATGCTGAAGTTATTTAGTTCATGTGCTAAAACTTCAGACTAAACATGCTCAGTTCTTTTGTTCATTTCCTAATACTTCACACTAAACATGCAGAACTTAAAACTTCATGCTAATATCCTAATATGCTAAATATGCTAATGAACTTTTTGTCCTACAGTCGACACTTTTTATCCAAAACTTCAGCCTAAACAAGAAGTTATTGAGTTCATGCTGAAGTTTAGTGTGTTGAATTTTCACAAAAATATACTTAAGTTCATGATAAAAGAGACAAAAGTATTTGATACAATCCAAGACAACTAAAAGACTAATTAACGCGAATAGAACAAAAATTTAAATACAGACATCACATAATTCACAAAAATTAATGTATATTCACAAATCCTATTTTGTTTTCACTTACATCCTTGTAAAAAAAGAAAAAAAATTATTTTTCATTTACAAGTTATTCTCTATCGAAAAAATTCACATAGAGTGTCTTCATATTCTCCATAGTTATGTCCTAGTTGCTCTTCTGGAGTTTCATAATCGCTATCTTGTTTCCACTTTCCATGAGCCCAAAGATTTGCAGCCAATTCTCTCCTGAATATCAACGCATAACTTTGATTGAATTTGAACACATCTTCTTGCTTCAACCGCATATCAAGGAACTTAAGAGCAAATATATCACAATCAACACTTTAAAAAGAACATGAAAAAGAATTGAAGAATAGTTAACACAAGAAGAAAAAATAATAAACATAAGATGCATGATAAACATATGCCAAACACATACTTATTATCTTGTAAGAGTGTGTTTATCCACTTAATTATAATTTTTTCCACATGATTTTTCCCATAAATTTTATTATGTGTGCCATAATCCAAGCATTTGAGACAGTGTGGGATCAACTGGGCATAATTTTGGATATGTTCAACTGCACACTCATATGGTGTATTGCTCATGGAATAATACACATATATAGTTTTATCTTTAAAGTGCAAAATTTCAAAAAAGGTAATGCGTAGATATCTGGTCCGACCTTGGCTTAAGTCGAAATGGAAAGAATACTTTTTCGGCAGAATACCACATGAAAGGTTAATGCCTCTTACGTAGTTGGCCATCTTTTCACCAGTTGATTCTTCAATAAGCCAAGTAAACTTGGTAAGATCCTCAATCTCCACTTCTTCTTCTTTATAATCCTCACATTCCTGTTTTTTGGCAGTCCTCTTTCTCTTTGATTTGCTCTTTTTCCCTTCCATTTTTTTCCTCCTCCATTCTCTTTTCTTTTCTTATTCTAATTTTCTCCTTCTGTTTATCTGAAGGATGAACACTGCCAACTTAGTCATATACTGATCAAAAATTAAAGTTGTTACTGCACATCTTGATTTTGGATAACTTGGAAAGTGATAGCAATATTTTTTGCGCAAGAAATATACACCCACTTCAATATGCTGCAAATGAACAATAACAAAAGAAAATATGTGAAATAAAAAACTTCAGCATGCATAAGTATGAAGTTTAGAAAAAACGCATTACAAAACTACAAACTGCATGACAAAAACTTAAGCATATTCAGTATAAAGTGTAAGGACATAACCTAAAAAACTTCAGCATGTTTGATTTAAAGTTTAGAAAAAAAAAATTAGAGACTGCATGTGAAACATTTCAGCAAGTTTAGTCTGAAGTTTTAGCAAATAAGCTAAACAACTTTAGCAGTTTTACCATGCATAAAACTGAAGTTTACCAAATTATAGTAAAAAAAATTTAAAACAAAAATAAGCTGAAGTTTTAGGAAATATAGTTGAAAACCAATTCAAAAAATAAACTTAATAACTTACTTCATCCGAAAGATCAGAGGTAGGATCCACAAGCTCAGTAAAAAATAACTTTGAAATATCAATTCCAGCTAATCTGAATGGCTTGGAATTATATTCACTAGCATCTGTCTTCAACCAGTCTGTAAATTCTTGCATCAATGCACTGTCTTGATTAACATAATGGAAGGGACACCTTCGTGTAGGTGTGATGGCGTTGTAACGACCCAAAATCCAAAAGGTCGTGATGGGGTCGGACACCAATGTCAGGCAAGCCAACCATAATCAATTAACTTAATTACCCATTTTAGTATTTTTGAAATAAATTTTTTTTTAATAAAATTGTAGAGATAAAAACTCATAGAGTAAATGATAAATATTTTTGCATCTAAATTTCTAAACAATTCACAACCATTCCCAAAATCCGGTGTCGCAAGTGCATGAGCATTTACTAGGGAATTAAAATAAAATACAGCATCTATCCAGAATACAAATTAGACAGGAAAATATAATAACTCTAAAGAAGATTCTGTTAGCTGCGGATCGTAATATAGAATGCAGCTCACATATGTCCCCACAATTTTTATAACACCTCTGCGCCCACAAGGCCGCTATACATATATGTACCTGCACAATAAAATGTGCAGCAAGTGCAGTATGAGTACGAAAACAACGTGTACCCAGTAAGTATCAAGCCTAATCTCGAAGAGGTAGAGACGAGATGACCGACTATGNGGATGGCCGACTATGACACTCACTATGGGTCAATAATATTAAATAATCATGAAAATAGAAGTATTTATATCAACGATGATTCACATAAATAACAATAATTTATTGAACCAGTAGAAGTAATTAAATTCCTTCAATTCCAATAATTCTCAGTATAATAATTATATTCGTTCAATTCAAATAATTTCTAATCTATTAAGTAAATCCTCCAATTTCAATAAAAATTTCAGTTTATCAAATAGCTTTACAAGCTACAATTTAATTTCAATAAATTTTCAATTTATCAAATAACTTTACAAGTTGTAATGAACTGTCCAAGTATCGTGTAATTATTATTATTATTAAGCATGATTTCTGCCGAGTACGTATGACTCGATCTATAGATGCATCTATCCTACCGAGGTGTTCGGCCCGCTCCACAAGAAAGGAGGACATTTTCTTATGTGCCTCCGGAAGGACAATATGTTTAATATAAGATAAATTTGGGAGGAGAACAATTTCTTTTTAACAATTAATTGATTTAAACCAAAATTAAGCATATGAGATTTTCATCCTTTAATATCTTTATCTAACAATTCACAATATATTCATATAGATATCAATTAATATAAATAAATCAAAGAATACAATCTACACAAGTAAGGCATGTTTTGAGTCCTAAATTACCCGGACTTTAGCATTTAATAGTAGCTAAGCACGGACTCTCGTCACCTCGTGCGTACGTAGCCCCCCCACAATTAGCAATAATTATTTAATTTTTAATCACCTAGGAGATAATTTCCTCCTCACAAGATTAGACAAGAGACTTACCTCGTCTTGCTCCAATTTAATCTACTATAAGGTCTTTTCCACGATAATCCAACTCTACCTCGCTCGAATCTAGCCAAAATAATTTCATACAATCACTAAAAATTATAGAAATTAATTCTATAAGAAAATACTACATTTTAAATAAAAAAATCCCGAAATTAATAAAAATTCATCAGTGGGGCCCACATCTCGGAATCTGGCGAAAGTTATGAAATCCGACAACCCATTCAATTTCGAGTCCAACCATACCAGTTTCACTCAAATCCGACTCCGAATCGATACCGAAATCTCAAAAATTCGTTTCTATGAGATTTCTAAGATTTTTCAAATTTCAATCTCAAAACACTAATTAAATGGTGAAAACAATGATATATTTGTGTATATAGACCAAATCCGAGTTGGAATCACTTACCTCAAATGTCTTTCCTTGAAACATCTGCCAAACGTCGCTTCTGCTCAAGCTCAAGTTTGTCAAAAATGGCAAATGGGTCGAATGCCTCTGTTTTTATAACTTACAGATCTGCCCAGTTCGATCTTGGGAGCTCGATCTCGGGGAGCTCGATCTTGGGAGCTCGATCTCGGGGAGCTCGATCTTGGGAGTTCGATCTCGGGGAGCTCGATCTCGGGAGCTCTATCTCGGGAGCTCGATCTTGAAAGCTCGATCTTGGGAGCTCGATCTTGGGCCTCGATCTTGGGCTCGATCATAGCCCAGAATTTTCAGCAGAAGAGAAAAAAAAATTGCAGCAGCTGTTTAAGTCTAATTTGTGATCCGTTAACCATCCGAAACTCACCCGAGGCCCTCGGGACCTCAACCAAATATACCAACAAGTCCTAAAACATCATACGAACTTAGTCGAACCTTTAAATCACATCAAACAATGCTAAAATCATGAATCATACCCCAATTCAAGCTTAAGGAAACTAAGAATTTTCAACTTCTACATTCGATGTCGAAACCTATCAAATCAACTCGGATTGTCCTCAAATTTTGCACACAAGTCATAAATGACATAACGGAGCTATGAAAATTTTCGGAACTGTATTCCGACTCCGGTATCAAAAAGTCAACTCCCCGATCAAACTTCCAAACTTAAATTCTTGTTTTAGCCATTTCAAGCCTAATTTCACTACGGACTTCCAAATAAAATCTCGATCATGCTCCTAAGTCCAAAATCACCATACGGATCTGTTGGAATCATCAAAAATCTATTTCGGGGTCGTTTTCACATAATTCGACATCCGGTCACTATTTGAAGTTAAATTTTATTTTTAATCAAAATTCCATATCTCGGGCTAGAGACCTCGGAATTTGATTCCGGGCATACGCCCAAGTCCCAAATCACGATACGGACCTACCGAAACTGTCAAAACACTGATCTGAGTCTGTTTGCTCAAAAAATTGACCAAAGTCAAACTTGGCCTTTTAAAGCCAACTTAAGGAAAACAATTGTTCCGATTTCAACCCAAACACTTCCAAATCCCGTAGATAAATATGGATATACATATATAGATAGATAGATTATAGATTATATAGATTATAGATAGATAAATCGCATTTCTTTACAATCGCATTAAAAAAAGCGTTTTTCACACGACACAATTTCTATATACGGGTAAAACCCCGAAAGATATATTGGGTTGACTCGAACTGGTTGAAATAACAGCAAAACCCTGGTTCTACATAAACCCCAGACGAAGCCCAAAGTTTTCTCTCAGTTATGGCTCCTGATGCTGCTGATGCTCTTGCAGGTTTTAATTCTTCCACTTTTTGCTTTTCTTGAAAAATTTCAAATAACGTAAGCATGTTATTAAAAGATTAATCTTTGATATTGTTTGAGCAGTTAGAGAAAAGGTTATGAAGTTACTGAATGCTGCTTGTTCAGGGAACATTGCGCTTTTCAAGAGTAAGTTTTCAAGGTTATTTTTGGATTTCAGTTTCTGCGATATGATAATGATGATTGTGGAAACAGATTTGGCTAAGCAACTGGATAATGGGAAAGGGTTGGCCGGGACGGTGGCGGATGTGAAGGATGCTAATAAAAGAGGGGCATTGATTTTTGCTGCTAGAGAAGGCCAGACCGAGTTCTGCGAGTTCATGGTAGAAGAGTTGAAACTTGATGTCAATACAAAAGATGAAGAAGGTAATTTTCTACTATTAACTTTGTCTTCGTTCATCAAAATGTGTGCAGGACCTAATTTCAACTCTTGTTTAGAAGAAATTGGCTCTAGAGCTTTTGTCCTGATTGAAACTTGAAGGCTTTTATCTTTTCGCCTCTTTAAGGTTTGATCGTAAGATGCACCCAAGGGTGTGGCCTAATGTATATAAATGTAGAATATTCTAGTTACAAAATTTTGATTTAGGTACCTTAGTTCAGGTACCACCTGTGAAATTTACCCTGTAGTCATGTTGCTGACTATGTATTTTCTTAGGCACTGTTTGGTTAAAAGCGTGCTTCATATTTCAGGAGCCCAAAATTTATTGCGAAAGAGAATTTTAAAATTTAAGCAGCCTCTTATTTAGTTCAACTTTGATTTGAGAGAGCACTGTTTGGATGCTTTCTTATATGTTAGAAGAACAAGTTGTGCATCATTTTTGGATCTACTTGGCATCAAAGCATTTTGGTGGAGTTGCACCATTTGAAATTAAATGTTTTCTTTGTTCCTCCAAATATTTGACAATGTTGTCGTGCCTAAGTGCAGACAATTCAAATCTTTAAGTTTAGCCTTTCAATCTTTCAAGAGAATGATATGAGAGACGAAGATGTAGCACATGTAATTAAAGTAGATATGAAGATACCTAATAAAATGAAAGGCAAGTTCTACAAAATTGTTGTGAGACCGATAATATTATATGAGAGTGAATATCGAACTGATGATGCACTCGATTTGCCAACAAGATGTGTCATAAAAATGTCAACGTTAAATCGATGTGTAGTCATACAAGATTAGACAAAATTAGAAATAACCAAATTATGCAAGTAGTACACGTCGATAATAAGATGAGAAGGTCTCTTTGGTAGTGGTTTGGCTGTGTCATATGCAGGCCTCAAAATGCACCATTATGTAGGTGCGATATTATGATGATTGAAGGTGCTAAAAGGGGACGAGGTAGAACTAAAATTACAAGGGTGGGAAGTTATCTCAAAAGATCTAAAATCTCTGCCAATCAACACGGACTTGGATATAATACAAAACAATAGAAGAAAGTGATCCATATAGGTGATACCAATTCGCTGTGATAACACCTATTTGTACATTTACATTAGGTCTTGGTAGGACAAGCCTAAGATTTAGGGAACCTCAGATTTTGGAAAACCCATAATTTGCTTTGAGAGACAAATTATTCATAAATATAGGAATGGTGGACTCAAATATGCAACTGATCATATAGGTGATACCAATTCGTTGTTATCAGGGCTTAGTTGTACATTTACATTAGGTCTTGGTGTAGGACAAGCCTAAGATTTATGGAGCCTCTAATTTTAGAAATCCCTTAATTTGCTTTGCATGACTAACTATTCATCAATGTAGGAATGGTGGACTCAAATACATGTCGTGTTACTTATCTCAACTTATTTGAGATTGAGGCTTTTATTGATTGACTGATTGATCTGTGCTGAGAGTGATATTGCTGTATATTGCTTTGAATACATTGTTTCTTCATAGGTGAGACTCCTGTTCTTCATGCTGCTCGTCAAGGACACACTGCTACTGTCCAGTACCTCATAGAACAAGGTGCTGATCCTGAAACACCTAGCGCTTCAGGGGCAACAGCTTTGCATCATGCTGCAGGAATGGGTAGGTTCTTCCTCTTTGTTAACAGAAGTAATTGAAGCTTCTACCTGTGTGTCAGGGAAAGAGTCCTTGGTTCATATACATGTAACTGTAACCTTGCGGCTCCGATGTAGTGAACCTTTTTATTGATGAAGTTTCTCATTTTTTTATATAAAATCTTTTGACAAAATAGTCAATAAAATTAAAATTTTGATTGTTTAATATTAAATGATGGAACTTTTGGGGACATAAGCTATTTTGGATTTTAAGACAAAATTGTATTGAGAAGTGTCATATTATTGAATATGCAAATTTCCTTTATACAAAGTTTACATTATTATTTGATGACTTAATAACAGCAGAGTGACCCATCTACCAAGTTTACTTGACATCTGTACTTAAGGCAGGCTATCTAGTAGATTAGTCGAAGAGGAGCACATGCTGGCGGGCAACTACCGTGATTAAAAATGAAGAACAGCTAGTAAGAAATAGCTATCAGTCTAATTCTGAAATTTTCCTAGTAAAAAAGTGTTTTGAGACTCAAAATAACATGGCAGTCATAAAAGTAGAAAAGGACTTGAGATTGGGAGTAAAGTTGCAACTTCAGCTAAACAGAAGGCTAGAAAAATTTCGGGAAAATGACACTGTATAGCTGCTTTCAAAATAATAGCCGAAAAATGTACTATATCTTTTGTATATATTTTGTATGTATACATATTTGTATGTTTTATACAAATTATATATACTTTTGCGGCTGCCGGATGTGAATAGTTTCGGCCGCAGGTTAAAAGTGATCTTTGCCCGAAAAATTTTCCCATTGTGCATTAACACCAATTGAAGAAGATTTGAATGTAATGAGATAGTACACCTGAAAAAGTTAGTAGCCAGAAAGCAAACGGCATGCTAGGGTTAGTGTAGACTTGATTCTATATTGTGACTTGCATTATTGAATAAGTGATTACCAGATAGTTGATTGAATAGAAGTACAGTTCTATTGGAAGTAATAAAGGATTGTAAGTTCAAAGTTGTGCCCTGACCCATCTTACTTAAGGAAATAAGTGTAGAGGAGCTTTCTTTCCTGTACAGTTTCTCGTTATGGAATAAGTGATTATCAAACAGGTAATTGAACAGAACAAGAGTTCTAATCGAAGTAACAAGGGAGACTGTAATTTACGGCCCCTCTTACTAAAGGAATTTTTTTTAGAGGGGCTTTCCTTGTTAAATCTGTACCCTTCCCAGGTAGCCTGCTATTTTGCACGCACAAGCTTATACCTTCATCATGGTTGCTCCAATTGAAATAGGAACCATAAGGTAATGATCTAAGTTCTATGTCCGCCAAATAAGGCAATCAACACTCTGCTTTTTTGAATCCAATACTTATTTGAGCAGATCAGCTATGGCGTTATGCATTGGCTTCGAAATTTTCAGCTGTCTTATACAAGAAGAATCAGTTGAACTCCAAGTTGATGGGAAAGGACAGTGTAGGAGAACTTTCTCAGATTTTATCATTTTATGTGTGTATATATATACACATATATACAATGTAGGACAAGAGTGGGTTGCTCTAGTGTTGAGCACCCTCCACTTCCAACCAAGAGGTTGTGAGTTCGAGTCACCCCAAGAGCAAGGTGAGGAGTTCTTGGAGGGAGGGAGCCGAGGGTCTATCGGAAACAACCTCTCTACCCCAGGGTAGAGGTAAGGTCTTCTTACACACTACCCTACCCAGACCCCACCAGTGGGATTATACTGGGTTGTTGTTGTTGTTGTATATATATCTGTTTATGTTTAGGGCTAAGCCCTCTGTTTTTTTTTGCTGTCTATTGTGAGGAGAAAATGGAAGAACGGGTCAAAAGGTCCAGCAGACAATCTGAAGGGCTGTTGTAAAAATTCAGGAAATAAAGGGAGGAAGAGACTGGCATTAACTCTGGAAAGGCAATGCTTCGAAGACTTGGATACTACATAGATGCCCTGTGCTAGAAATATGGGTTCTTGATGGTTTCTCCTCAACAATTTTGGCTCCAAAAATTCACCTCAAATTAGTTTTCCATTGGTAAACGGCATGAAAACCCGAAGGGAGCCTTGGAGCAACGGTAAAGTTGTCTCCGTGTGACCTATAGGTCACGGGTTCGAGCCGTGGAATGAGCCGCTAATGATTGCGTTAGGGTAGGCTACCTACATCACGCCTCTGTGTGCGGCCTTTCCCAGACCCTGCGTAAATGAGGGATGCTTTATGCAGCGGGCTGCCCCCTTTTTTTTAAACGACATGAAAACCCACTAGAATCTGCAGAATTTTTAATTTGAGCATGTTTTGAGGAGTAACTAAACTCTCATCAAGTTTTGACCTTTCTCGCTTCATTCTCCTTTTCTTTCCTTTCTTTCTGCCACATGCTACATCTTTTATTCTCAAGTTATGACTTCACATGACCCTAGATTGCTAGAGCTTCAGCCTTCAAAGAACTGGCATAACTAAAAAGGTTATCTGATGTTGTAATATATGCAGGGTGACATTGAAGATGTAGTAAGGAAGCTACTGATTTTCATTCAAGTTAGGATGTAGTCAAAACTTCTGTGTCTCATTTGTTTCTTCTTCTCTACTGGTGAAAGTGTATTTCAAAGAAGATCCATCTAAGTTAAACTCTATGACAAACACAAAATTTGGGTTGTTGGTCATATAATTAGACTTCGTGGTGTTTATTCGTGGTGTTTATAACACACACATTATAAATCATATTCATCTCAAAATATCATAATTGGTAGAAAGAATCTCAAGCTGTTGAAGCTTGAAGGAAAGCAAGACCAGTTCTGCAGGCTGGAAAAAGTCCATATGCTCCTCTTCATTCTAAAGGATGCATGTTCGTGCAATTATGTTTCTCCTAGATAAAACTTTCTTGTCTCTAAATGAAAATTCTAAATAGCTGGAATCTGAGAAAGTGGATCTAGCTATTTCAGTAGTCGTGTTCATTATAGAGGATAGTGCTGTTGTATTAATTTGCTCCCTCCATTTTGAATTTGAATTTGTTCATTTTACTGGACATGATGAATAAGAAGACAGTTGAAGATAGCTGTTTCTTTATGCTAAATGAGGGAAGTCTTTTAGGCTAATACTTGGGATTTTGTTACATGAATTATGAAAACTACGAGAAGTGTAAATGTCGGTTTGATTTGAATTTTTGGGGTCATTAATAAATGATGTACAAAAGTTAATGAAGACTTCAGAAAGGAGGCCCACGAGGAGAGAATGCGTGGCTGGAGAACAAGATTAAATGCATAACTGAGGACTCGCTATTACAGAATTCACAAGGAGGCAGGCTGATAGCCTGGGGATCTCTGCTGTAATTTGCTTAAAATCCATCATCAGCTTATCTGTTCTGCCATGTTTCTTTCACTTTATCTTCACATATTCCTTTTCTCTTCTCTTCCAAGTAGTATGAATTTGAATGGAGTATCAAGAACATAAGTACATGTAAACGAAAAACTTGCAAATTCTCGTGAAAATATATTTGCAGATTTTATTTTCATTTGTTGCCACATAGTCTCTGAGTCAGGGATAAAATCATGTTCTAATGGATATCCGTAATCGAGATCTTAGTGTCAGCTTTTCTGTTCTCTATTGGTAAACAACGAGAGAAATCAGTCAACATGTCATGCCTTGTTACTGTATTATACTATTATTTTCCATAGTGGTTTCTTGCATACTGTGATGTGTGTAGCTACATGCATTCTTCTATTTATTTATCCTTCTTTACGTAGAGTGACATTTTATTGTGCATATTCTTTGTTTGCAGGACATGTTGAAGTGGTTAAATTCTTACTCTCAAAGGGCGTAGATGTTGATTCACAAAGTGGTGCTGGAACACCACTTATATGGGCTGCAGGTCTTGCCCAGGAAGATGCTGTTAAGGTTTTGCTGGAACATCATGCTAATGTGAGTGCTTCGCTACCTGCTTAAACCCCCCTTTTCCAAATTAAAATTACCACCTATTATGTAACAGTTCTCTAGACAAAGTGGAAAGCAGTTGTATGACTTATGTGCTTCCAGGTAGTTGGTTACTCTTCATCAGAGTATTATAACACGGAGAGATCTTTTTTTCAGATATCACCATCA